GGAGATGAAAGAATGGATACAGCTGAGAACTCATCTACTGAAGGAGAAGTGATCTCTTTGCTTCAAGCTCATGAAAGTCGCAAATGTCAGAAACGAGGAAATGTCACTTTCGATAGAATGGAAGTATCATCAGAATCCACAAGATTCTCGGCATCATCGCTATTGGGAAATGTTTCAACTGGTGGTGATACAATTGAGGTTGACAACAGTAATGTACGAGATTTGGGGGGAAACGAAAAGCCTCTGAATGAAAAGAATATTCTGACTGACGTAAAAGGTATCACAGCTGATTCGGCGACGTTGGTAATGGCCAACGAGTCACATGCACAAAAATTGAATCGTTATCAAGATGACGAATCCTGCACCAGAGATTGTCCATTTGAGGTTTTAGGAGAAAGTGATGTGGCAGCAACACGTAGGAAGTCTCTGTCGAGTAATAGTTTCACCCTCAATCGAGTTGATCACGTTCAGAATTTGGTTAATGATATTACCATCAGACAAACCTCTTCAAACATTGACAAGTCGGTGTCATTCAGCGACACAACCGAGTTCATCAAAACAATCAATGTTAATTCTGGGCCCTCTGATGATCTTCTCGATAAACCAACAAATGTCGATATTGCTTCTTTTACTTCTATGATCTTTGAAGGTCTGCATCCCGTTAGAATACAGGAAGATGGTCTGTCAGACTCCTTTACCCGCTCCGGAAAATCTAACGATGCAGTTGGGAAAATTGTTTGTGACAGATGGAGACAATTCATAGAAGCAGTTTGTGGAGAAGTAGAAAGGAGGATAGATCAAGAAGGGACGGCAGCAACATCTTTACGCTCTCTTGTCGAAGAAGACCCTGGATTGTACTACTCTATTCAACATAGGTTTCAATCAAGCGGCGAGCACTCTTTTATTCGAGAATCCTTAAAACGTCTGGTTGAGGCCGGCCAAATATTGATCGGGTACGAGTGGAACTCCTGGCTAGCGACTGTACTGGAATCGTTTCATGGTCCTCTAACTGATATTCCACAAGCATTTACTGACGATATTTCTAAAATCGACGAAGCTCTGCAACAGAGCAAAATCCTTGAGACGGATGTTTCCTTTATGAATGATAGGAGAACAAAGCGTGCAAGAAGAAAGAGTCTCGCGAGACATCGAACAATGGTCACAGCACTTGAAAGAGAAATCGAAAGCATAGAAAGTCAGTTATGTGCAATCAAAGCCGAATTGGAACAGATGGAGAGAGAAAAGGTCGATCTTTTAAAAGCGACAACGTCTTGTTATGATTTCCGTCACAATGCCGAGCTGCACGATGGTTTGAAAGTGGAAGCTGAAATCAGTCAGAGATCATTCTCGTCGTTACGGGGATTGCATTCGTGGTCGGTATCAACATTATCTGAGAGTGATATAGAAATCTCTATCATCGGTTCTTGTAAGCAGACCTATTTGGAGCTGATGTACAAAGGCACTAAATGTGGCACTGCAAATACGAACGTATTATCAAAGATTGACTCCTCTCAAAAAATGGAAAAGTCACTTTACGTCTACCATGGGTCTATAGCAACCTTTCTTGAAATTGCTACGAAACGACTAATATATATGGCACAGAAGAGCGACATTAAAGGGGAATTTCGAATCAATGATCACTTGCTAAGATATGCATGGCTTGCGGGCCGGTTGGATATCGTAGCTAAAGAATTTCAAGTTGTGCAACGTCGGTATAGAGGAAAATTATATCGCGATAGCAAAGGATCGTTTTCATTCATTGTGGAATTTGAAAGTAATAAGTCCAAAATGGTCGCCGACTTCGCAATTGAATCAGAATATCCTTCTTTTCCGGTAGAGGTTCGATTAGACTTGATCTCGGGTAAGCAGGACCTCGAGAGAATAAGAAAGGCCCTTGTCAAGAATGCGAAGCCTGGTTTCGGAAGTCTTTCGAGAGCATGCGATATAATTCATTCAATAATGAATGGGTGAAGTGGGGAATGAATACTTCAGAGTAGTTTATTTGATGGTTATATTAGAGAGGACGTATGCATTGGATAGTCAGAGCAATAATACGGTATTACTGTATTTCATCTCCCGGCATCTTGTACTGAACTATGAATCTCAAATCCAATATTTCATAAGAAGTGGGTTGCTACCTTTTGGTAAAAACATATCTAGTAATACATAACATCAATAATTTCGATAGCAGCAAAAAAGAGTACAGGTTCCTATCATCGAAATTTTCATGAACTTGACAATTGAACTACGCTAAAGTTGTTCGTCCTACACCAAATCTTTCCCCTATGTATCCATCGTAGGCCGCATTGAAATGGCCCTTTTTATTCCGAGTCGATGTCATCAAAACCTCGTCTCTTTCATCGACGGCATACTCGTTTATGACATCCGGTGCGTACGCTAACGTCAAGGCAGCAAAGCCACCATATAAAACTGTTAGGACCGCGCACATAATCGAAAAGGCCATTGATCTGGTCTCTCGCTGCCCATCAATTTGATTTCCAGCGCCTCCTGCTCTATCCTCTCCTTCTCGGTTGTCTCGAACCTGGTTGTAAGAAAAGAGAGAAAAGGAAACGTTCGCAATGCAATCGAAGGAATAAGAAATGAGCAACTAGGGACGCAAAAATTCTTAGTTGAATGAATTTCAACCATCTAGGGCTCACCTGAAATTCCCCAAATAGAACAGAACACAATAGAGTCAAATTTGCAAACATAAGGAGTGCGCCAATAAAAGAACCAATCCCTAGTGGCGTAGTACGATGAACCGAACTACTGCAACATGTGTAATATTGCCCCGTTGGACTTTGCCAGCCCAGAATAACCGTTCCAAAAATGGATAACAGGGCTGCTAAAACTCCTGTCCAGAGTGCCGAAAACGCCAACGCCCGAGATGTCACAGCCACTTCTGCATCGTGGCCTTCCCGCTGGTCTTGGCTTCCTTCCCCTTCATTATTATTGTAGTAATTTTCGTCATTCTCGTCGTCCGATGTGCTCAATGCGTATACAAATGCCGTAAGAAAAGAAATAGCTGTCAGTATTGTCACGATGGACCACACAGACGCCAGCAATCCTCTCTTCGAGCTGACGAAATTTCCACGAAAGCCATCGGTCATTTTCTGTGTCAGGGAGAACCAGAAATAGATAAATTGGATGATGCAGTCAAAGCTTCCAGATGCTCATGTATGCACTGCACAGATCACGTCGATAATATAGGCAACGTTGATTTCTCCGATTGGAATCGGTTCAATTAAATCATTCAAACTGCAGTCTATTGCCTGCTTGGAACAATCATATACAATATCAACTCGGTGATCGAAAGTGCAAGCAATAATTTTTGTTGCCGTTACATCTGTTGTTCCGTCCTGGACAGTTCCGTACAGCGGATCCCGTTTTGTACTACAGTAGGACAGTAGGACAGTAGGAGTACGTACGTTCACTCCTACGAGTACATAGTCCCGCAACCAAAACAGTAACGCAACGCAAGGTACACTTACCTTACTACAGTAGTACCTCAGCCGTTCTAGGCTCTCTTCTTTTCACATCATTTTTCATACCTTAACATTCCGAATGTTAGAAACGAAGGCTGTGTAGAAATAAGCACTGCAGTTTTTGCTTCAATTTAACGTCCTGAATGCTCTGCTTAACAGTCTGAAAGACGTCCTCTTCTTCCTCTTTTTCAGATCCCTTCTTCCTCTTTAGGCACATGCAAGACTGTTTTGCAACCAAATGAAGAATGTGGATAAGACTAGGATCTACGTAGGCCTACACAATAAATTTAACATTCGGAAGGTTAACACTGTGACGTGGTGACATTCAGATGGTTAATTTAATGTTCCAAACCCCTTCTTTAAAGAAAGTTCAATTGTTGTTTTACACTTAGTAGAGGAAACTGTGTTAATTGAGGCATTGGGAACATTGATTTAACATTCAGAATGTTAGCAGCGTAGKCTGTGTAGAAATGAGTACTGCAGTTTTTGCTTCAATTTAACGTCATGAATACTCTGCTTAGTAACAGTCTGAAAGTTAGCAGTGGAGGYGTCCTCTTCTTCCTCTTTTTAGATCCCTTCTTCCTTCTTTAGGCACGTGCAAGACGGAATGAAGAATGTGGATAATACTACTATTATCTATGCCATAAATTTAACATTCTGTACGTTAAATTAACATTCCCTATGCCTCAATGAACATAGTTTCAATTGTTATTTTATGTGTAGTAGTACGGTRCACATACAATAACAATGTCACTGATCTTTCTTTAAACAAGGAGAAGGGTTGGGAATATCAAATTAATGTTAACCCCCTAGGCCTGTGTAGAAATGAATACTGAGGTTTTTGCCATACCTTGGATGATTCCCATAATGCTGGATCCAGGTAGTTTAGACTGATTGGATGGACTGGCAGACAATGCTAGTTCAGCCTGCTTGGTCTAGATTTAGCTAATTAGACTGGAATCCCATAATCAAAATTTTGAAAAGTCCCATGTGGTTTTCAGGAGGTCAGGTATGCAGGCGTGCCAAAATGAAGATGGGACAAAAATGCTGATTACAAGAGAGCACATGATAGAAGAATACCCATCAGTATTCAGTGCTATGGCACTGCTGCTGATGAGTCGACTCTCAAGAAGAAAGTTAAGCATAGTACTATCTACAGTTAGTAGTAACTACTACTCCTCTGTTTGAAGAAGTAAGATTTCAGTAAGAAGGAATCCATTGACTATGATAGAATCAAAGAAGCTATTCATGTTGGGCAACAAGCTTAATCTTTGTCATGTGCTTCTCAGCATAGTGGTTCCATTGTTTGTGCTTGCTGCCGCAGTTGAATTAGATGCAGAGCTGGACAACACAGTAATTACTAGCATCCTCCCAATCCCAAATACAGTATGTATACATTATCTAGTGCTATCAAAATGCTCCCTCTGAGCTCCTGGCAATGGAGACAGAGGCCAGAAGGCTGGTTCCAAGAACTATAGCAATGGCAAGTTAATTTCCTTCTTGATGGGAACTATCATCAAGGATTGTAAAGGAGCAGCATTGAATTGAGCATGATCCTTTGCTCCCCATCCTCATTTAACTGTAGTCTATCCTTCATTTGCAGAAACTAACCCTGGATCATTCTCATCCCCCACATAGATGGCTGCCCCAAAGAGGTGGCTTGTTGGTTCAATGCGGTTGTGGTTGCACCATTGGGATCATCCTGGGAACTCTTGATTAGGAAAGGCTTGTTGTTGACCCTAAAGGCTGAATCAACAATAACTTTGGCACCATATCTACTGTGCAAGGTCTCCATCTTCTTGTTGATGCCATAATCAGACATGGTACTATTGTGTCAGGTACCAAGACAGTTGAAAGTGCAAATGCRGATATTTTCATCCAGTGCAAAGACAACAAGCACACTTTTGATGTAGGTGTTGGCAACCCATCCATGATAGTACTGATTTTGGATTGCCCAGTTCCCTGAAGTTTGTAGTTTGACCTTCAGACCATCAGCTGCTGCCCACACTTTGTTCTGAACAAGCAACGGGTATTTTTTGACAGTAGCCTCACTTTAATCCGACACTTCATCTCCAGTAGGTATCCTGATCATAGCTGCAGGATGGTTCTGTAACACAAACAGTAGAATTGTAAGAGAGTATCTAGGCATCCAGACCAAACACCAGGGATGTGCTCCTTATTATAGATCCTGGAGTCCTATACCAATACAGGACCATCCCAAGGCAACAGGTTGTCTTCTGTATGCAATGACGCTTCCTTAAATACCTGAAAGTCCTTAAATACCTGAAAGATGAGTACCATCATGATGTTTCTTGATATTAGAGTACATAGTAGAGACAGACTAGTACTAGTAGTAAGGGTCTGATTAAATTTCAATTGGACAACCTAAATGCCATGCAGGCATCTGCTTGTGGCCCCAAACAGAGCAAAACCTAATAGTTGTGATCTGATCAGACCACAAATACTTGTGAGTGGTGCTATCCCAACCTTGAGGTAAGCTGCTTTTCAGAAGCTTCAGCTGCCTCTATACTCTCCACAAGCCAATGACAGAATAGACAGATGGAATGAAGTGACAACAGGCCTGGTGATAGCAGGCATCATCATACTGTTTCTTTTTCCCCTACTCCTCATGGAAATAGACCCCTACCACAGAATTATCTTTCTKGTAGGATGGACAAGAGACCGCATGAGTGACACTTGGAATTTGATCTTGTTGCTGATTCCCTGGGACATTGCCAAACACTACTACATTTCCAAGTACCCAATCAGCTGGTTCAAAGAAAAGCTGACATTTGCAATACTACTAGTAGCAGTAAGTTTGGTACCACCAGTGGTCAACTTGGTCAAACAGGTTGGAGGTCTGGTGGCTTTTGAAACATGAAAATATACTGTTTGGTGATCTCCCTCTGGGAGTTGGTGCTGGCTGATGTGTTAAGGTTCATAGTTCATTTGTTGTGTAATGTCACAACACTACTGGGTTTCAGGGCTTCTTCTGTGTAAAGCTGGAGCTGGACAAGATCATACCCTTTGACCCATCCAAGTTGGAGCCAGACCTTTGCCCTAAGTCTGGCAATAACACTTGCATGGTGATCGAGTCTATCAATGGAATCAATAAAAAGAACCAAGTGGCACACAAGAACTACAACCAAGAGAAGGAGGAATGTGCTGAGAGGAATGGGGGAAGAAGCCAAAGTATCTAGTAGTATCAGCAAAAGGACAGATGATGGGATCCTGGGCCTACAAGATCCACCATTACAAGTACCAAGCATCTGACTGTTACTTTCTTGTACACCAAAAGGCAACTGGAACTACTAGCAAATACCTCAATCAAGACGTGGATGAGAACCCAACTTGCTCTTGTCCAATCTGCAATTCCAACTGCTCTATCCTCTTCAATAGAGAGGACTTGTACAAGATATCTTCCAAGGCCAACACAGAGGCAAATGATTGTCTAGAGACTAAGCAACCAACTAACTATCCCCAGCTCTTCAACCATATTGTCACCACCGCACTGCACAATATGGTGAATGATGCAGCAATGGCAACAGGATGTCCTTTGGATGGGAATGTTCAGGATTTATATACTCATGCAGGCAGCAGCAGGTTGCTTGTTGTGCATAGCATCCAAGGGAACTTGGCCATGAGGGATACTATGAAAGAGTTTGGACCAATGAGGACTTGGACTTACCAACCACACCAAGGGGATAAGGATGTATCCAAAAGAACTCACATCTCATTAGCAACTTCCTAGTAGGTATGAAGGCTTGATAGGCTTCAGTAGACTTCCTCTTCCTGGCCATTTCCATTCCCCTCAGTCACCTTGGGATATCTTCTCTTGAATAGATCCCTCCCCCTCAATTATATGAATGTCACTAGCTCATCTGCACTTGTAGAAGTGTTGATAGTTATACCAATAGCAAGAAGATAAAGGTCTGGTCCAACAAGCTTGCTTTGGTTGCTATTGCCTGTCATTTTGTATAGATCAAGGCGTCTGTTCCACCTTGAAACAGATGACTTACTAGCAATAGCAGGCAGGAGACCATCCTCTCTCCTTTGCAGTTCCATCTCTCTGATGTAGATACTAGGATACCCTTCTTATTGATGAGGCTTCTAAGCTCTCATTTATTTCTTAGTCTAGAGAGGCCATGGTCATCTATCCTACTGAAACAGTACTTGTTCTACTGGGTCCTTTGCTTCATTTCAAGGCACCTTTCATTGACAATGGAATAGAGCTGTCAATTGATACTACTTGTGACAGTACAAAAGGTTGTGTTAAAGTGCTTCAAATAGAGCAATTGACATGGTTGGTTGTTGCTTTGAACAACTTTTTTTGAAAGGAATGAAAAGTACAGTTTAGCATGCTGAAGGCAAAATTTTAGGTCAACCACAGTGTCTCATAGTAGGATTTTGATCATGTGATAAAAACCAAGCAATTTCACTAAAATCAACAGTTACCCATTGATCCACAGTTCTCTAAAAGTCTTCTGGTACTGAATGCTACAAACCCATGTCAAGCCATCACAAAGAAATCTGTCTGGAGGGTGTAGTGCCAAGCCAATATATCTACTGAACAGCCAGCAATGGCAGGAGGAGAGCGTCTTCATGATTAATATCGTATAGAGTTGGCCAGCAGATGTACGATAATATCGGGGATTTTTGGCTATCTAATTACCGTGTAACTCGTGGGATTAAAAATTGGCTTGTAGTACTGCAGTGTACAGCGGGCAGGTGCTGAATTTTTGAATCCCACATTCATGTGACCAAATAGTTTCGTGCACGTGCAAAATAGTTTTTTGCTTTCACGTGCATGCTGTAGGCCTGGTACAAGTCAAATTTTTAATCCCACGAGTCATTA